CCAACTTATTTTTTTAAACTTTGGCCATGTTTAGCATGAGAATCCAACTCTTTAACAGTGTAAATAAGTCAGATTGCATGAAATAGCATTAGACCCCCCCCCCTTTAATGTTTTTGTGGAAAATACCAATCATATTATTAACAAATCATACTAACCCCAAACATTAGTGTACCTGAATTGCAAGAAAGATGAGCGTAACATTTATTTGGTCTGGTCTAAAGTCTCATTCATATAAAACTACTATCCTAAATAAATAGGTATTTAGTTATCAAAGCTGTTGACCGGCCATAGAAGAGACACAAATTTGGTGGGAGATTGCAAACAATCTGCACGTGTGTGCTGAAAGTGTGCAGACTTTCCAGAACTGAAGTTATACCAAAAAGCCAAAAAAGTCCACAGAATGGAAATGTTTTTCACACATTGTGGAAGACCGATGAAACCATCTCTCTCACCCTAACACAAATACAGATGGTTTAAGGTATCCTGCATGGCTACTCACACACAATTAGACATTCATTAGAAATATTCTCAATGAATGTGGCTTTAGAAAGTGGAACATGTTGCCCACGGTGGAGAATGCAGAGTAGCTGAGAAGAGAAAAGGTTTGTTGTAAGCTCATTCACAGCTGGCAAGAATTCCCAGTGATCAGCTCTCTTGATCCCTCTATAGGCGTCTCTAATGCATGGGCTTCTTGCTGGAGGATCCCACATGTACGTAAGAGCCAGGTTGTGTTATTGTGAAGAGATCAGACTCACAAGTACAGCAGACAATGTGTAGCGTGACTGGAGGCTGGTATGCTGGTATGGAAAGTGGCCGCTCTGGGAACGTGGGAGAGTGCCTGCTAGCTAAAGCCATTATACTGTGTTAGATCAGTTAATCCAGTCCACTGTCCTCTTGTGTACCCAACTAATCTCAGCTGACCCTCTCAAACTGGGGAGAATCTGAATAATCAAAACACGTGATACACTGCTCACATCATACAAGTAAAGACTTTCAGTAAAGACTTACATTGTTACAAAGAATGCTGAAAAAATGTAGCATGGTTTCCCAAAAAATATATTTAGCAGCACAACCATTGTTTTGCGACCACCAAATCATCCCATTAGAATAATAAGAATGATGTAAAAAAAATAGATAAATAAATAGATAGATATAAAATAAACGTATAAATACAAAATATATAAACTATTTTATAAACATACAATTTAAATATATTAAAAAAAAATGTAAATGATGATTTCTACTGTATTTTTGATCAAATAAATGTAACCTCGATCAGCATAAGAGACTTAAATGCACTTTCAGATGGATGGAGTGCAATGGCCATGTTGGTTCAACACAGTTTGACAGATGCAAAAGGACAGTATACAGACATTTGCAAGACATCACCCTCTACAGATGGAATGTGCTTACCCAACATGCTTGGCTTACGTCAGATCTTCCCTCAATTTATTTAATGTATCCATCCTAATCTGCAAACCTGAGGGATTTAGAGCAAGATACTCTGCGAGATAAATGGGACATGCGAGACCTACAACTTAGACCCACCTTGGAAAACCTCACACAACTGTGGTTTAGATTGTCCCAACTAAAACGGTGAACTTTTATCCTTCACAGAAGAAGGCATCATATCTTGCATAACGTTCAGAGAGGCCTTATATAATGGGAGGATGGGAGTGCCAAACTGCAGAGAAAATTAGGTTTGGACAGTGGATTTGTTAAGCGTTCTTTTGCTTTCACTTCGTTTAAGGTTGCCGCACATTAAAGTTGAGGTTAAACTTGGATATTCAGAACAATATACTTCTTCCTGACTACACTGAACTCTTGTTCAAAGCAGCCTGAATAAACTAATATCTGGGAGCGGATAGTAGTATTAGTACTCTATGGGCTTCTTTTCCCCTCAGTATGGTTTCCCAGCAAAAAAAAAAAACCCTCATACAATCAGCTTCATTAACTATAATTATCTTTAAGATGTAGGCTCAGTCAGTATTTCCTTGGTATTGTTTCTGAAAGTGACTTCATCATTGTTGCCATGGATATGAGGTTAACCCAAGAGCAAAGTGAGTCAGAAACAAAGCGCCTTACTTTGGGTTTACAACAAACCCAGAGCATAGTCCAGCCTCACAATAAAAATACATACACTACCCACAAACAATTTAAGTGGTTTGTAATTCCAATTTTAGTGATGTAGCTCAAGGGTCACCACCAGTATTGAGTTGTGTGCACCTTGTAAATGACCACTGAGGTCAGAAAATTCTGAGTGAAAACAGCACTGGTCTCTCTGCAGCATGAGTGGCACAGCATTGTTTTTAAAATGGTGAAGACAGTCACGATTAAACAAGTGTGAGGGGCTGAAGAAAAAGGTTGGTTGTGAATATTTGCCATTAATATAATAAAGACTGCCATTCAAAAATACAGTGAAAACAGTAAAATTTTTTCCTCCTGCGAAACACTCAAAAACTTTTTTGTTCTTTTTTTTTTGTGTGCTGCTGTTCAAAGTTTAGGGTCAGTAAAAAGGTTTAATGTTCTCGAAAGAAGTCTCTTATGCTCACCAAGGCTGCATTTATTTGATCACAAATTCTGTTTGAATATATTTTAAAATGTAATTTATTCCTGTAATGGCAATGCTGAATTTTAGCAGCCATCCATCAGGAGCAAAGGTGGGAATCCACTGGTCTACATAGAACATCAGTCCCTTATTTTGAAAGAGCAAGAAACATCCTGGCTGACATCATGTGGTCTCATTCTCTTACCTTGTTCTGGGTGAGGTGGTGGACAGCTCGACTGTGGGCATCAGGGATCTGAGTGGCCATACAGCCCTGGTTCATATCAAACACCTGGATGGTGCGGTCGGCGCCAGCAGCCAAGACGATATCTGACACACTGCGGTTAAAGAGATACATTGAACTTACACTTCAGTTTGCGTCCTGTCATCTTGAATAAAATCCAATAGTGTTATATAACAGTTCTCTGAAGAGTTCATAACTTTTACAGCCTACCAATGAGATTATCCTCTACATTACATTATACTCTGTAAAAGATAAAAAACTATAACAAAGTCACACAGGAAAATCGTATTATTTAGCTCATGTGTTCCACTGCATGTGTTGCCAAATCACAAACTGCAGGGTTCAGCACATTTATTGCTTAATAAATTACATGTAAAACATTTAATAAGGATTCAAGATGAAGACATAGCTGGATATTAGACAGATATTAATCATTTACAGTACCAATCAAAGGTTTGCACACTTGACTGAATTTATGATTATCAAGAGCTTAAATGCTTTAACATTGAAAGTGCAAAATATTCAGAATGAGCCAGTGTGTTATTTATAGCCAAAGACAAGATTAAAATTTACCAGGAAAATATTGTATCGTTCATGCACTGATTCCCTCAGCTATTGTTGAATTGTACAAAGCCAAAAGGCTAAGCCAGGTATTTTAGGATACAGGAGTAGAAGTCATTGACGGCCGACATTGAAGTGATGTCCGTTCCTGACGTCATGTTGAATTTACTTGTCAATTTGGACTTGCTTCTTTGCTTATACCTGTGATTACATGAAGAGGGAAATAAAATGAAGCACATTCCATAAATAAAGATTCTGAACTTATTTCAGAATCGTTTCAATGGATTATGACAAAGCATTGCAGTCGAAGCTGTGTGGACATGAACCTGATGTATAAAATACAAACTGACAATTTTACAGAAATATGGCAAAAAAGGAAAAGGCAGTCTATCTGTGTGTAGAGATTTTCTACCACCTTACACAATGCTGAAACATAATGGTCTTGTGCACATAATTATTCTCTGTAAAAGGGATAGAAGATGTTCCAACATAAACAGAATATGATGTGCAATATCTGGCTCTCTCTTCCAGGAATTCCCCAACACTTGTGTTTAGATATACAGTATAAAGACTGGGATTCTTCTTTGATTCTTCAGAAATGATGCACAGATTCTTCACTGACGAGTGCTCACCCCGCTAGCACAGACATACATATTGTATTTCACCACGACAAAAATATATATAGAAATTCTACACATCTTCCTGCCTTAGAATATGAAGTATGTGGTTGTTATATTAAACCAGGTCAGACACTCTAAAATCTGATAGCCTGGCATACTCCCAGTTTTTACAAGCCCTCGAAACTGAACCTTTCTTTCGGCAGAAGGTCACCAACACCCTGCTTTTATTGTTACTTGCTCAATGTCCATTAACTGCTTGTACCTCTTGATGTCATCTCTTGTGGTGTCCAGATGGTAAAGGTACAGCAATAGATTTGATCCTGACGCCAACAGTAAAAACTTGTCCAGGTAATAAAACTGAGCACTTCTGATGGGCTTTGCAAACTGGTCATCTCCCTGGAGAACCATGAAGTTAAACAAACAGTGCATAAACAGACAGTCAGTAAGTCATATCAACACTGCATTTTATTAATAGCCCTTAAATAAGTGCTAAGTGCATTCATGTCACAGCACATAAAATATAGCACCATATCAGCTCAAAATATCACAATCTCAGTCATTCTCTCTGTTTACCAAAGATGTGCGAAGAGTGTGAAGAGATAAATGTGGATAGAGGAATGTTGTTTTTCTGTCTGGATAATATGAGACTTATGAAAGTCAATGAGAGACAATTTGGTGAGTGGAATATGAGTGCTACTGGATATTTGATGTACTTACTCAATGCAAGTGAATGTATGTAGCTTCTAGCTTCATAAATTAATGCATTTTTGCCTTCCAAAATGTGTGCAATTACAGTGTGTGTTCTATTATCATCTTTACAACATTAGAGTAAACTGTCTGCTTTTATTATGCTACTTTTGAATTATTATTTATTATTCTTACTGCTTATGCTACCAACCAAACCTTGACCCTTTGTCTGCAATGTGCTGGCCAAACATTTGTCTGCGTTTGCATGCTTATTTGAGTATATTTCTGGCCAAAATGTCTAAAATGTTTTTATACTTCGCTTTCAACATGAAGTAGCCTGTTTATTATTGCAGACCCAGGATTTTCTCTTTAATATAAATGACACAAACACTGATGCATTGGGTCATATTTGGCTCCAGATACACACACAGATGCACAGGTCTAGGAGGCTGGGTGGGAAGACACCAGAGAGAGACTCTGAGCCAGAATGTGACTGAAGAAAACTGATTTGAATGAACTTCAGTTGTGTTGGGGGTTCTGGGAAAGAGGGAAATTTGGGTTTAGAGAGGTCTGCAAGTGTTTAGAGCACTGATGTGCTGACCAGGGGCCTGCACAGATGCCTTTGACGTTCCAACAGAGGAACGCTGCCAAGAGAAACACTTCCCGCAGGCGTACGCATTCAAATGCAAATTAATTTTTGAATCTTAAAACTTTTCTTCACATACTTTGCTTGTTGGTTCACTCTGAGCTGGACTTGATGAGGTAATGCAAAAGCTCAGAGCTAATATCACTTTTTAAATTGCTCATGTCAGTGCAAGGACTGTATTTGGTTCAACTGTTGATACGTTACCATGGTCAGAACAGGTTCCGAAGCATTCGCGGTCCGAATGCAAAGGGTGGGGTCCTCAGAGGTACTTAAAAACCAACGTTTACTGTGACTCCAGCATACAGTGTTCACAGCCTTACTGTGACCTGCAAACAGAAAACAGAGCCATAGTTTTGACCCCAAAATTGATGATCACTTTGCAAGGGACCCCCTACGATAAAAATACATTTATAGGCAACTGTATAATATTATAAAATATTAAATAAGATTAAGATGTTGTATAAGACTAATTTATACTGTGTGAAAAAAAATATATAAAGCCTGATATTATGAAAACCACAAAATCTAAATCTGTAAATTCAGTATTCCATAATGGCCAGAATTTGAATTTAGTCTATTCCTGCCTAAAACTCGCAACAAAAGCATATGAGGAGAGTTACAGACAGCTGCTAGCCCCCACTGTTTTCCATAGTATGGAAAAAAATACTATGGAAGTCAATAGGGACCAGAAACTCTATGGTTACCCACATTCTTCAAAATATCTTCTTTTGTGTTCAGCAGAAGAATGAAGAGAATAACTTTTTTGTTCTTCACTTAGAAGTTCGAAATGAAGAACAAAAAAGAACATCACTGTGAGTGTATCAGAGAATCTATTTCAAGGACAGGAAGGGCCTCCAAAAGTCAGAATTCCCCAACTGTCAGTTTCAGCTGTCAGTGTCAGGTGCTGTCAGAATTGCATGTAAAAATTTGAATACTGATCCAATTCCTTTGTGCCACTCAGTCAGGAAATGAAAATAAGAGACAAGCAAAGGAATTTTACAAAAATAAACACTACAGATTTGAAGCTCTCCCACTACCTGTATAGACAGCTGGGTTGCTGGTGAGTGAAGAGTTATACAACAAAACAGAACCATCTCCAAGACCACACGCAATCTGCTTTCCATTTCCTAGACACAAAAAGAGAAAGTTAACAGACAAAAACGATGGAATAATTAGTTCAAAAATAATGTTCCTAAGGCAAAAGTCTAAAATAACAACTATAGCACTCTTAAAAACAGGTGTACACAACTTTATTGTGTTTAACTCCAGGAGTCTACTTTGCTGCTGGTGCTACAGTATGGAGACTTTATGTGAGACCACAGGAGAACCGAAAATGCAAATAATCAATAGGCAAATTACTGTTAGACATGGCTATTAAATGCTGTTGATTGTGCATAAATCTGGTAAAGAAACCAGCATGCATAGCATGGTTTGCTATGCAATGTTAAGCCAATGAAATTACAGCAGGATACTACAGTGCTACAGGGGTGCACTTTGTGTAAAAAATTTGACCATATGTAACAAAAATTTTTTTTTAGACCCACCTTGGAAAACCTCACACAACTGTCGTTTGGATTGTCCCAACTAAAACGGTGAACTTTTATCCTTCACAGAAGAAGGCATCATATCTTGCATAACGTTCAGAGAGGCCTTATATAATGGGAGGATGGGAGTGCCAAACTGCAGAGAAAATTAGGTTTGGACAGTGGATTTGTTAAGCGTTCTTTTGCTTTCACTTCGTTTAAGGTTGCCGCACATTAAAGTTGAGGTTAAACTTGGATATTCAGAACAATATACTTCTTCCTGACTACACTGAACTCTTGTTCAAAGCAGCCTGAATAAACTAATATCTGGGAGCGGATAGTAGTATTAGTACTCTATGGGCTTCTTTTCCCCTCAGTATGGTTTCCCAGCAAAAAAAAAAAACCCTCATACAATCAGCTTCATTAACTATAATTATCTTTAAGATGTAGGCTCAGTCAGTATTTCCTTGGTATTGTTTCTGAAAGTGACTTCATCATTGTTGCCATGGATATGAGGTTAACCCAAGAGCAAAGTGAGTCAGAAACAAAGCGCCTTACTTTGGGTTTACAACAAACCCAGAGCATAGTCCAGCCTCACAATAAAAATACATACACTACCCACAAACAATTTAAGTGGTTTGTAATTCCAATTTTAGTGATGTAGCTCAAGGGTCACCACCAGTATTGAGTTGTGTGCACCTTGTAAATGACCACTGAGGTCAGAAAATTCTGAGTGAAAACAGCACTGGTCTCTCTGCAGCATGAGTGGCACAGCATTGTTTTTAAAATGGTGAAGACAGTCACGATTAAACAAGTGTGAGGGGCTGAAGAAAAAGGTTGGTTGTGAATATTTGCCATTAATATAATAAAGACTGCCATTCAAAAATACAGTGAAAACAGTAAAATTTTTTCCTCCTGCGAAACACTCAAAAACTTTTTTGTTCTTTTTTTTTTGTGTGCTGCTGTTCAAAGTTTAGGGTCAGTAAAAAGGTTTAATGTTCTCGAAAGAAGTCTCTTATGCTCACCAAGGCTGCATTTATTTGATCACAAATTCTGTTTGAATATATTTTAAAATGTAATTTATTCCTGTAATGGCAATGCTGAATTTTAGCAGCCATCCATCAGGAGCAAAGGTGGGAATCCACTGGTCTACATAGAACATCAGTCCCTTATTTTGAAAGAGCAAGAAACATCCTGGCTGACATCATGTGGTCTCATTCTCTTACCTTGTTCTGGGTGAGGTGGTGGACAGCTCGACTGTGGGCATCAGGGATCTGAGTGGCCATACAGCCCTGGTTCATATCAAACACCTGGATGGTGCGGTCGGCGCCAGCAGCCAAGACGATATCTGACACACTGCGGTTAAAGAGATACATTGAACTTACACTTCAGTTTGCGTCCTGTCATCTTGAATAAAATCCAATAGTGTTATATAACAGTTCTCTGAAGAGTTCATAACTTTTACAGCCTACCAATGAGATTATCCTCTACATTACATTATACTCTGTAAAAGATAAAAAACTATAACAAAGTCACACAGGAAAATCGTATTATTTAGCTCATGTGTTCCACTGCATGTGTTGCCAAATCACAAACTGCAGGGTTCAGCACATTTATTGCTTAATAAATTACATGTAAAACATTTAATAAGGATTCAAGATGAAGACATAGCTGGATATTAGACAGATATTAATCATTTACAGTACCAATCAAAGGTTTGCACACTTGACTGAATTTATGATTATCAAGAGCTTAAATGCTTTAACATTGAAAGTGCAAAATATTCAGAATGAGCCAGTGTGTTATTTATAGCCAAAGACAAGATTAAAATTTACCAGGAAAATATTGTATCGTTCATGCACTGATTCCCTCAGCTATTGTTGAATTGTACAAAGCCAAAAGGCTAAGCCAGGTATTTTAGGATACAGGAGTAGAAGTCATTGACGGCCGACATTGAAGTGATGTCCGTTCCTGACGTCATGTTGAATTTACTTGTCAATTTGGACTTGCTTCTTTGCTTATACCTGTGATTACATGAAGAGGGAAATAAAATGAAGCACATTCCATAAATAAAGATTCTGAACTTATTTCAGAATCGTTTCAATGGATTATGACAAAGCATTGCAGTCGAAGCTGTGTGGACATGAACCTGATGTATAAAATACAAACTGACAATTTTACAGAAATATGGCAAAAAAGGAAAAGGCAGTCTATCTGTGTGTAGAGATTTTCTACCACCTTACACAATGCTGAAACATAATGGTCTTGTGCACATAATTATTCTCTGTAAAAGGGATAGAAGATGTTCCAACATAAACAGAATATGATGTGCAATATCTGGCTCTCTCTTCCAGGAATTCCCCAACACTTGTGTTTAGATATACAGTATAAAGACTGGGATTCTTCTTTGATTCTTCAGAAATGATGCACAGATTCTTCACTGACGAGTGCTCACCCCGCTAGCACAGACATACATATTGTATTTCACCACGACAAAAATATATATAGAAATTCTACACATCTTCCTGCCTTAGAATATGAAGTATGTGGTTGTTATATTAAACCAGGTCAGACACTCTAAAATCTGATAGCCTGGCATACTCCCAGTTTTTACAAGCCCTCGAAACTGAACCTTTCTTTCGGCAGAAGGTCACCAACACCCTGCTTTTATTGTTACTTGCTCAATGTCCATTAACTGCTTGTACCTCTTGATGTCATCTCTTGTGGTGTCCAGATGGTAAAGGTACAGCAATAGATTTGATCCTGACGCCAACAGTAAAAACTTGTCCAGGTAATAAAACTGAGCACTTCTGATGGGCTTTGCAAACTGGTCATCTCCCTGGAGAACCATGAAGTTAAACAAACAGTGCATAAACAGACAGTCAGTAAGTCATATCAACACTGCATTTTATTAATAGCCCTTAAATAAGTGCTAAGTGCATTCATGTCACAGCACATAAAATATAGCACCATATCAGCTCAAAATATCACAATCTCAGTCATTCTCTCTGTTTACCAAAGATGTGCGAAGAGTGTGAAGAGATAAATGTGGATAGAGGAATGTTGTTTTTCTGTCTGGATAATATGAGACTTATGAAAGTCAATGAGAGACAATTTGGTGAGTGGAATATGAGTGCTACTGGATATTTGATGTACTTACTCAATGCAAGTGAATGTATGTAGCTTCTAGCTTCATAAATTAATGCATTTTTGCCTTCCAAAATGTGTGCAATTACAGTGTGTGTTCTATTATCATCTTTACAACATTAGAGTAAACTGTCTGCTTTTATTATGCTACTTTTGAATTATTATTTATTATTCTTACTGCTTATGCTACCAACCAAACCTTGACCCTTTGTCTGCAATGTGCTGGCCAAACATTTGTCTGCGTTTGCATGCTTATTTGAGTATATTTCTGGCCAAAATGTCTAAAATGTTTTTATACTTCGCTTTCAACATGAAGTAGCCTGTTTATTATTGCAGACCCAGGATTTTCTCTTTAATATAAATGACACAAACACTGATGCATTGGGTCATATTTGGCTCCAGATACACACACAGATGCACAGGTCTAGGAGGCTGGGTGGGAAGACACCAGAGAGAGACTCTGAGCCAGAATGTGACTGAAGAAAACTGATTTGAATGAACTTCAGTTGTGTTGGGGGTTCTGGGAAAGAGGGAAATTTGGGTTTAGAGAGGTCTGCAAGTGTTTAGAGCACTGATGTGCTGACCAGGGGCCTGCACAGATGCCTTTGACGTTCCAACAGAGGAACGCTGCCAAGAGAAACACTTCCCGCAGGCGTACGCATTCAAATGCAAATTAATTTTTGAATCTTAAAACTTTTCTTCACATACTTTGCTTGTTGGTTCACTCTGAGCTGGACTTGATGAGGTAATGCAAAAGCTCAGAGCTAATATCACTTTTTAAATTGCTCATGTCAGTGCAAGGACTGTATTTGGTTCAACTGTTGATACGTTACCATGGTCAGAACAGGTTCCGAAGCATTCGCGGTCCGAATGCAAAGGGTGGGGTCCTCAGAGGTACTTAAAAACCAACGTTTACTGTGACTCCAGCATACAGTGTTCACAGCCTTACTGTGACCTGCAAACAGAAAACAGAGCCATAGTTTTGACCCCAAAATTGATGATCACTTTGCAAGGGACCCCCTACGATAAAAATACATTTATAGGCAACTGTATAATATTATAAAATATTAAATAAGATTAAGATGTTGTATAAGACTAATTTATACTGTGTGAAAAAAAATATATAAAGCCTGATATTATGAAAACCACAAAATCTAAATCTGTAAATTCAGTATTCCATAATGGCCAGAATTTGAATTTAGTCTATTCCTGCCTAAAACTCGCAACAAAAGCATATGAGGAGAGTTACAGACAGCTGCTAGCCCCCACTGTTTTCCATAGTATGGAAAAAAATACTATGGAAGTCAATAGGGACCAGAAACTCTATGGTTACCCACATTCTTCAAAATATCTTCTTTTGTGTTCAGCAGAAGAATGAAGAGAATAACTTTTTTGTTCTTCACTTAGAAGTTCGAAATGAAGAACAAAAAAGAACATCACTGTGAGTGTATCA